ACTAAATGGGCAACAAAAACTTGACCTTTGGCTCCAACTAGCTGAATTTGCCCTTGAAAGGCTGTCATGCCCGACAAGTAGCGTGGCATCAGAGCACGTGTTTAGTGCGGCAGGAGGTATTGTAACTCTGCGGAGGACACGACTGTCCACCCAAAGTGTGGAGAGACTCACGTTTGTGAAAATGAATCAGGTGTGGATTAGTCTGGATTTCAAACCACCAGTTCCTGACGCAACTGACTAAATCCGCCATGAATCATGCCCCAAACATGTTATTATTTTTAACATAGGCCTCTGTATGGCCTTCAATTTAAGCTGCTTACGCTTTGCCACTCTGCCATGGGCCCCTGTACCGCCTCCTCTTGCTGCTGCCAGGTCCAGAGTGTGTCATGGGTCCCTGTACGGCCTCCCATTGCTGCTGTCTCCATCGCCACACTCTGCCATGTGCCACTTTCAGGTCTCCTCACACTGCTGGTGGGTTCCATTTTGTCATAGGGTGCTGTATGGCCTCCCATTGCTGCTGCCAGGCCCGTAATCTGCCATGGGCCCCTGTACCGACTCCTCATGCTGCTGCCAGGCCCGTAATCTGTCATGGGCCCCTGTACCGCCTCCTCATGCTGCTGCTGCCAGGTCCAGAGTGTGTCATGGGTCCCTGTACGGCCTCCCATTGCTGCTGTCTCCATCGCCACACTCTGCCATGTGCCACTTTCAGGTCTCCTCACACTGCTGGTGGGTTCCATTTTGTCATAGGGTGCTGGCAGATTACGGGCCTCCCATTGCTGCTGCCAGGCCCGTAATCTGCCATGGGCCCCCGTACCGACTCCTCATGCTGCTGCCAGGCCCGTAATCTGTCATGGGCCCCTGTACCGCCTCCTCATGCTGCTGCCAGGTTCCAGAGTGTGTCATGGGTCCCTGTACGGCCTCCCATTGCTGCTGTCTCCATCGCCACACTCTGCCATGTGCCACTTTCAGGTCTCCTCACACTGCTGGTGGGTTCCATTTTGTCATAGGGTGCTGTATGGCCTCCCATTGCTGCTGCCAGGCCCGTAATCTGCCATGGGCCCCCGTACCGACTCCTCATGCTGCTGCCAGGCCCGTAATCTGTCATGGGCCCCTGTACCGCCTCCTCATGCTGCTGCCAGGTCCAGAGTGTGTCATGGGTCCCTGTACGGCCTCCCATTGCTGCTGTCTCCATCGCCACACTCTGCCATGTGCCACTTTCAGGTCTCCTCACACTGCTGGTGGGTTCCATTTTGTCATAGGGTGCTGTATGGCCTCCCATTGCTGCTGCCAGGCCCGTAATCTGCCATGGGCCCCCGTACCGACTCCTCATGCTGCTGCCAGGCCCGTAATCTGTCATGGGCCCCTGTACCGCCTCCTCATGCTGCTGCCAGGTCCAGAGTGTGTCATGGGTCCCTGTACGGCCTCCCATTGCTGCTGTCTCCATCGCCACACTCTGCCATGTGCCACTTTCAGGTCTCCTCACACTGCTGGTGGGTTCCATTTTTTCATAGGGTGCTGTATGGCCTCCCATTGCTGCTGCCTCCACCGCCACACTGTGGCTCCACACTCTGGTTTTGGCCCCGTGACTGCCCAAATGAGTGAAGTGTGCGGTGATTCTAAGATCGACGGCACTCATCTGCATGTCATACTGACTGACAGTATTTATTTCTCTTCCCCAGCAGACTCCAAGGGCATTTAAATTAAAGGTACAGTGTTCTGCACTAATATAAAGGCTCTCTGAAGCCTAGAAACACCCTTTTTATAAGTTAAATTCGCAGCGAATATATTCGACTCGAATCGAATTTATTCCACGAATTCGCCGAATCAGCCGAATCGAATTTTTGAATAATTCGCTCATCTCTAATCCCTGGCATCCATTAAGACATGCATACTCTTCTCTGCTGGTCACTGGATGGTACATTTGCATTTATCATATTCTTGACCTTGTCCGCATGTCATGAGCAGCAATCACAAATATACTCTTTAGCTGTTTAATGAGCTGGCTTATCTAATTAAGTCTTTAATGATTAAAGCCGGCAACTCGGATGTTTATGTAAATCCTCTATTGATACAAAATATAAGATACAGAGTCCACCAAACCTAACGCATTTCGGCCACAGCCTTCCTCCTAGCAATAGCTGTTGCTACGAGGAAGGCTTTGGCTAAAACGCTTTACAATTTTAGTGGACTCTATATGTTTATATTTTGTACCAATAAAGGATTTGCATAAGAAGCATCCAAGTTCCCGGCTTTGATCACTAGAGATTTAGATTTTGGAAGTGAACGCCCGAGCCTGAGCACTGGTTCACTGCATTTATACCCTTCTATACAGCAGCGGTGCTAGGGTGAGAGTTTCATTGTTACCTAATTAAGTGCCTGCTGAATTCAGCATCCTCAGCTATTCTGCTTCCTGTAAATATTTCCTTTGTTTTGTTTCACACTGTGCAAATAAAAAATCAATTTTTATTATGTTTGTATTTTTACCTGTTTTTCTTTCCTTTTTTTTTTGAGCATCTTTGCAGAAATGACACCTTTAATTAACAGTAACTGTGCTTGGATAACTGTGCTTGTTTTGTTCAGGGGCACATATGCCAATAAGCAGATATAATGTATGCCATAAACACTTTATGGCCAAATTATATGGATATCTGACCATCATAACTACACTATATGGCCAAACATATCTGGCCATCTGACCATCACAACTACACTATATGGCCAAACATATCTGGACATCTGACCATCACAACTACACTATATGGCCAAACATATCTGGACATCTGACATCTGACCATCACAACTACACTATATGGCCAAACATATCTGGACATCTGACCATCACAACTACACTATATGGCCAAACATATCTGGGCATCTGACCATCAGAATTACACTATATGGCCAAACATATCTGGGCATCTGACCATCACAACTACACTATATGGCCAAACATATTTGAGCATCTGACCATCACAATTACACTATATGGCCAAACATATCTGGGCATCTGACCATCACAACTACACTATATGGCCAAACATATCTGGGTTTCTGGCCATCACAATTACGCTATATGGCCAAACATATCTGCGTATCTGACCATCAACAACTTACACTATATGGCCAAACATATCTGGGCATCTGACCATCACAACTACACTATATGGCCAAACATATCTGGGCATCTGACCATCACAACTACACTATATGGCCAATCATATCTGGGCATCTGACCATCACAACAACTACACTATATGGCCAATCATATCTGGAATCTGACCATCACAACTACACTATATGGCCAAACATATCTGGGCATCTGACCATCACAACTACACTATATGGCCAAACATATTTGAGCATCTGACCATCACAACTACACTATATGGCCAAACATATCTGGGCATCTGACCATCACAACTACACTATATGGCCAATCATATCTGGGCATCTGACCATCACAACTACACTATATGGCCAATCATATCTGGCATCTGACCATCACAACTACACTATATGGCCAAACATATCTGGACATCTGACCATCACAACTACACTATATGGCCAAACATATCTGGGCATCTGACCATCACAACTACACTATATGACCAAACATATCTGGGCATCTGGCCATCACAAACTACACTATATGCCCAAACATATCTGGGCATCTGACAATCAGAACTACACTATATGGCCAAACATATCGGGGCATCTGACCATCACAACCACACAATATGGCCAAACATATATGGGTCATCACAACTACACTATATAGCCAAACATACAGTGAGAAAATAATTATTTGATCTTATGCAGATTTTGTAAGTTTTCCCACTTACAAAGAAATGAAGGGTCTATAATTCATATCATAGGTGTATTTTAAATTATAAGAGACAGAATAGCAACCAAAAATCCAGAAAAAACATGATACAAATGTTATAAATAGAGTTGCAGCTCAGTGAGTAAAATGAGTATTTGATCCCCAAGCAAAACATGACTTAGGACTTGGTGGAGAAACCCTTGTTGGTAGGCACAGAGGTAAGACGTTTCTTGTAGTTGGTTACCAGGTTTGCTGCTCAGGAGGGATTTTTGTCCCCTCGTCTTTACAGATCTTCTCTAAATCCTTAAATATTCTTATCTGTCGCTTGGCAACTGGATGTTTCAGCTCCCTCCATAAACGTTCTATAGGATTAAGGTCTGGAGACTGGCTAGGCCACTCCATGACCTTAACCACTTCATGTCCGGATACTTTCACCCCCTTCCAATCCAGGTCAATTTTCAGCTTTCAGCACTATCACACTTTGAGTGACAATTTTTTTTGAGACAGATAGAACCTTCTTTTGGTGGTATTTAACCACCACTGGGGTTTTTATTTTTTTTGCTACATAAATGAAAATATTCTGAAATTTTGAAAAAAAAATAATTTTTGTTTCGTTTTTGTTAAACGTTTTTTTGCAAATAGTTAATTGTTCTTCATAAATGTAGGTCAAAATATATTCTGCTACATTTGTGGGGTAAAAATAACCCAAAACAGTTAATATTATTTAATCTGTGTGAAAGCTATAGAGTCTACAAACTATGGAACATATATTTGAAAATTGATCAGTTGAGATCCTGAAATGCTGGATGCTGTTATGGCATATGGCAACGACCAGGACGCTGGTATGGGGTATGGCGGTATGAGGTATAAGGTATCAAAACACTGGTACGGGGTATGGTGGTGAACAGGATACTGGTTTGGGTTATGGCAGTGATCAGAATGCTGGTATGGAGTATGGTGATGATCAAGACGCTGGTATTCGACATGGCGTTGATCAGGATGCTGGTATGGGGCATAGTGGTGATCAGGATGCTGGTATGAAGTACCCTCACTTTTCTCATTATCATCCTTACCCCATGAGGTGAAATCTTGCATGGAGCCCCAGACCAAGGGGAATTCATAGTTATTTTGTATTTCTTCCATTTGCGAATAGTCGCTCCACCAGTTTTTTCCTTCTCACCAAACTTCTTGCTGATGGTCTTGACGTCTATTCCAGCCTGGTGCAGGTCTACAGTTTTTTCCCTGATGTCCTTTGACAGCTCCTTGGTCTTGCCCATGTTGATGAGGTTTGAATGGAAGAAAGATATTCTGTGGACAGGTGTCTTTTATACACATAAAGGGTTGCCGTTAGGAGCACCTTCTTAAATTGACAGGACCAATCTGTGTACCACATGAGCACATAGCCAGTCTGTGGAAGCCAGAATTATTGTGGGTTGGTAGAAGATCAAATACTTATCTTACTCAATTTATAACATTTGTATCATGTTTTTTTTCTGGATTTTGGTTGATATTCTGTCTCTATCACTTAAAAAGACACCTATGATAAAAAATTATAGACCCTTCATTTCTTTGTACCTGGACCAATGTATAAAATCTGCAGGTGATCAAATAATTATTTTTCCCACTGTATCTGGACATCTGACCATCACAACTACACTATATGATCAAACCTATCTTGACATCTGACTATCACAACTACACTATATGGCCAAACATAACTGGACATCTGACCATTAAACCACACTATATGGCAAAACATATCTGGACATCTGACCATCACAACTACACTATATGGCAAAACACATGTGGGCATCTGACCATCACACTTACACTTTATGGCCCAATGTGGGCAACCCTCCAAATTGATGAGTCTAGGATTCTTAATTGGAGGATACTGTTAATGTTACTGCATACAGAGACATTTTAGTCAGTTGTGCGCTTCCAACCTTTGGTAACATATTGGGGAAGGCCATTTTTGTTTCAGCATGCCTGTGCCTCTGTACGCAAGGCCAGCTCCATAAAGACATGAAGGGAGATGAGTTTTGATGAGTTTGGTGTGGAGGAAATCAAGTGGCCTGTATAGACCCCAATATCAAACTGTGGGATGAATTAGAATTCAGTTGTGAACCAGGTCTTCTGGTCCAACATCTTTTTTTGAGCATCACATGGGAGTGTTTTCTAAGGTGGTTGGCATACAAATGCATTCTGATTAGGATTACTCACCCCTCCAAATTTTGGCTTGTCCCCAAAACAGGAACATACAGGAAATATTCCAATGGAAACATTAGTTTTGGTGACCTGGGGGGCTCCAAGGGATTCCTTTAATTTGCCAAGATTTCCTCTCACTTCCTGTTTTGGCAATGGGACAGGAGGTGAAGAAAAATCATGCCAATTGGACACAGATGGCAAAAAAAAGAGACAGGGGTTATTACCCTCCCTTACTGCATCCAAAATGTAAAAAAAGTTTTGCCTATAGTTTTTTACTACTTTAAACACTTGTCCTTTGACAGCTTCAACCTGCCAGTTCTAGCCATCACAGTACCTATTGTGGTTTGCAAATGAGCTAGTAAGTTCCTAATCATTAAGTATGGACCAGCAGCTCTTAGTAACTGCATATTCTAAGAAATAGGAGTGTATACAGCTGTGTGCTTCTGGTTCTAAAATAAAAAATATATAACAATCCTCTTGGCTCCTTTAAGTGGTATTAAAAGCAAAATTAAAAAACAACAGATGGCATACCTGCCTGCTCTGTGTAGTTGTTTTGCACAGAGCAGCTCCGATCCTCTTCTTCTTGGGTCCCCCACCAGCTCTCCTGGCCCCTCCCTCTTGTTGAGTGCTCCCAGAGCTTGGCCCAGCTCTCTCACTCTTCTCATTGGCTCTCTGGCTGTGATTTACAGCCACTAGCTC